CACACACACACACACACACACACACACACACACACACACACACACACACACCTCTTTTCGTTTGTGCGCAACGAGAACGCGCCGTGCCATTGCGCACTGACGGCTAAATTTGACATGTTTATGAGGAGCGTGTGCGCGTGCAGAAGAAGGGAGGCCGTGGAAACAGGACTTTTCCCGGGGGTGGGGGGGGTGGGGGTGGGCTACAAACCTGTTGTAAATCATATTCTGAGTGATAATGAGAGACTTGGAGTTGGAGAAAAGAACAACTTTCCTCATTATTATTATTATTATTATTATTATTATTATTATTATTATTATTATTATTATTATTATTATTATTGATTTTGCTTAAATTGAAGGCGGTAAACCAACAAACTGTGAGCAAACTCTTGTTAATATTTCCGGACAAAAGGAAAACAACCTCTTCAGCAAAAATGACCTTAATCAGATAATGACTTGATGAGTTCCTACAACAGCTCCATTTCTTTTCAGAGACAGTTCTCAGAGAAACGGCGCGCGCGCACGCATCCACGCGCACGCACAGACACGGCTGATGGTAAGCGCTAAAAGCTGTTTTGTTCCGGAGAGGTCTCCGGGTCCCTGAATAAAAAAGGCTTTAGGAGACAGGACCGAGCAGAGGAGAGGATCTAAGTGAGCAGGAGTCTGAAGTCCTCGTTGAGCCGTTCAGGACGTGATGCATTCATTTTTTCCATGACAACCAYGAGGATGCTGGAGGAAGGATGGACACTTTTGTGACCAAGATTTAAATAATAAAAAAAAGAAGCCACCCTGACCCAAATATAAAGTAGGAAACATGCAGTTTGCAGTAAAATAACAGCAATTTACATATTAAGTTGTAAACCAGAGCTGAGAACTGGCAGACTGCAGCCCCCCCAGCATGACCCACATCCATCCTTTTATGCTGCAAGTGATTTTGGAGGCTGTTTGTGTTCATAAAGACAGGGGGAAAATAAAATGGGAGGTGTGGCGCGCGCAAGTGTTAGAGCTGGGAGGGTGGTCAGTCCACTGAATGAACACACAAATTCAAATCTGCTATTTGCATGAATGGCTGCTGCATGAAGGTAAAGTATGGTTCAGAAACACAAAAGCATTTTTGAAAAAAAAAAACCTTTAAAGCAACAAGTTAATAA